CAAATCCTCTCTTTTAACATACAATTCTTCAACATTTCAATACTCCTTCATTGCATAATCATTCCTATTTTTCTTAGCTATTTGAGAGCCAATTCTTGAAGAAATTGTCGTGTTCTTGAGCGTTTACTAGTTCACTCATATCTACTCTTTGTGAGAGTTTCATTCCTGAGTGTTTAAGTGTTTTCATACACTTTAAGGGAGTTTGTTCCCTTGTTGTAAACTCGAAGGAAGTTTCTTGTTCCTTCGTGAGAAGTCTTGGAGTGCGGTATCTCCGAGCAAAGGTGTTGAGGCTCGTGTGACTCGGGTTCTCAAGTTGTATCGGTTTGTTAAGCACCCTTAAGCTTAACGGAGTTAGTGTAGCTCGAGAGAGTCTCTCGGGGGGCTGGATTAGCCACACGTTGTGGTGAACCAGGATAAAATCCGGTGTGCTCCTTCTTTACGCTCTTTACTTTAACGCTCTCGTTTTAATTTCCTGCGATTTTGTTTTAAACGCTATTCACCCCCCCTCTAGCGTTGGGCCTTTATTCTAACAGTATATATATTCATAACATTCTAATTGCCTCCTAGAAGAGGGCGAAGAAGTACTTGGTCCTGCAATACCAAATTTTAAGGGTGAAATTAGATTGGTAATGTGTTCACATATGGTGATAAGAATTTTCATTGGAAGTCGACTGAGCGAGCACGACTAGATAACTGAGGCAGCATAACTGATCCTGCAATATCAGTTAATATAGGTCCTGAGCAACCTAGCCAACATTATCCTGTAGCATAATGTTGTTAGTGTATAATGAACGATGATATATCTGAGGGGGAGTGTTAAATATGGCAGATATATTACTCTTATTATTTAGAATATTTGGTTACCTTGTTTACCTAGACTTTACCTCCTCCCTGTGTATGTATAAATACCCCAACATATGATGAATAAAGTACTCAGTTCAAAATTCCTGAAGCATGCAATCAGAAAGCTCATGAGTTATTCTCAATCAAGTTACAGAGATCATTATACGGATTGAAACAATCTGGTAGAATGTGTTATAACCGTCTTAGTGAATATCTTGTTAGAGAAGGTTACATAAATGATCCAATTTGTCCATGTGTTTTCATCAAGAAATCTGAAGTTGGATTTGCTATCATAGCAATATATGTAGATGACCTAAACCTTGTTGGAACACCAGAAGAGTTAATAAAGACTGCAAACTATTTAATGAAAGAGTTTGAAATGAAACATCTTGGGAAAACCAAGTTTTGTCTCGGCCTGCAGATCGAGCATGTATCAAATGGGATTTTTATCCATCAATCAACATATACGGAAAAGGTCCTAAAACGATTTTACATGGATAAGGCACACCCATTGAGCAGTCCCATGGTTGTTCGATCATTAGATGTAAAGAAAGACCCTTTTCTCCCTCGAGAAGATAATGAAGAACTTTTAGGTCCGGAGGTACCTTATTTAAGTGCTATAGGGGCGCTAATGTATCTTGAAAATTGTACAAGACCTGATATAGCCTTTTCGGTTAATTTGTTGGCAAGATATAGCTCAGCACCAACACAAAGACATTGGAATGGTGTTAAACATATATTACGTTATCTTCGTGGAAGAAGCGATATGGGCCTGTTTCATTCGAAAGGTTCAGAATCACTAGTTGTTGGTTACGCTGATGCTGGCTATCTTTCTGACCCACAAAAGGGTAAACCGCAAAGTGGATATGTTTTTACTTGTGGTGGTGCGACAATATTATCATGGAGATCAGTAAAGCAAACACTAGTTGCAACCTCGTCAAATCACTTGGAGATAATGGCGCTATATGAACCAAGTGGAGAATGCATATGGTTAAGGTCAATGGTTCATCACATTCGAGAAACTTCTGGATTATCTTTTAATAAGGCTCCATCATTACTCTATGAAGATAATGATGCTTGTATTGCACAAATTAAAAGTGGCTACATCAAAAGCGACAAGACGAAGCACATATCACCAAAATTCTTCTATCCGCACAAGCTTCAGAAAAGTGGAGACATTGAGATTCGTCAGATACAGTCATGCAATAACCTAGCGGATTTGTTCACAAAGGCATTGCCAACTATGACATTTAGGAAGATGATCAATGGTATTGGAATACGTCAACTCAAGGATTTTTTTTCCATGTTCAGGGGGAGCATTATATGCACTGTACTCTTTTTCCTTCGTCCAGGTTTTTGTCCCATTGGGTTTTTCTTGGCAAGGTTTTAACGAGGCAGTGTCATAAGCTCAAGTCTACCTAAATGGTGAACATCCAAAATCCAAGGGGGAGTGTTATGTACAAATGTCTTTTGATGTTCTCCATGTCTAAGTTAGACTTTTGATTTTCCCCTTTGTAAGCCTATATATAGAGGCTCCATATGTAGAAATGGAACATCCATATTTTTAGTCTCTCATTGCATTCTTTTTCTTTCACTCTCCATTGCACTTTGATCTTCCATTTGTGTTCTTATCAAGGTATATCCCTATCATCTTGTTCTTGATAATATTTCTATTATCTTTATTCTTAACAGTCTACCCTTACTTGGATCCATACCTATTATTTTAAAAAATAGAAGGTCGGGTATATGACGAGTAGTATCGACCTGTTTAAAACCCGTATTAGTTAAATAAATAGATAATATTAAATGTTACAAAACCCAACCCCCTTCTTCGCTACTCTCCTTCTTCACTCGTTGTGTGGCTTCCAAATCTATTTATATTTATTTTACCATATTATACACATGTACACATTGATTTATGCAGTTGTATGAAATAAATAGTTTGGAATTAGTTGTAATGTTATAAAGAACATTCTTACAACCTAAATGAATGTGACAAGAACGCAGATTATGAATCTAAGATTTTTATTCGGGAGAAGGACCAAATTAGTAGTAAAACATATGATATATCTTCAAAATAAGAGTTGAAACATAAACTCCCCAAAATAGGAGTAATTAACTTTTAATTAATCTAATGGCTTAAAATTAAGGAGTAAAATACAAGTAAAACATTGACCATGTACCAAAATATAAGTTATATTCATATTACAAATATGAAATTAAATACATTTTATAAATTAAAAAAATCCAAAAAGAGCTACAGCCCCTGCCACACATGTCACTGTCGCCACCCCTTCCCCCATTGCCGCTACTGTCGTCGCCGCCACTCCATCGCCACAATCTCTTGGTGTCGTCGCTATTAAATGCGGTCACCATCTACATTATTGCTGCCACTAACACCGCCACGGTTAGCAAATTCGCCTTCGTCGCCACCACGATCTGCCGCTCTCATCCCCATTTGTTGCGGGTGTCCCCTTCATCGCCCCCATTTGCTGCGGTCAATGTCGCAATTTACTACCAACGTTGGGATCAGAATTGTCATTGTCGCTACCATAGTGACATGGTGTCACTTCTAAATGAAAAAGCTTTCAATACAATGCCAACCAAAGCGACAATGTCACAGACGATAATGCATACTAACAAACATGTCATTGCATAATGCCAAACATGTTATTTCGTAATGCCAAACATGTCAATATAAAATGTCAAAAAGAAATTAAAATGTCAAGATTGCCAACATACAATGTCAATTTTCTTATCACTATCACCAAATTTTGCTGAAATTGGGAGAAACATTTAAACACAACTAATAAAAAACAATTAAATAAAAAAATTAAAAGAAAAATAATCAAATACAAAAATGAAAAGAAAAAATCAAACCAAAATCAATACCTACTGAAGATGCAATTTTTCGGAGAAAAAAAAAGATGAATGCAATAAGTTGGAAGTATTTCTTACTTCTACGATGCAGTCTCAATTATAGAGCATTTGGAAGCTAATTAAAAAAATCATAGTCATCGTGACTGACGGCAATCTTAGCTCTGATGGATATAGGCGGTGCGATATATCTGCAAAGGGAAGAGATAAAGGCGGCACTCTGCAGCGGATCTACATGGGATGCTTCGTAACAGATCTGCAAAGGGAGAAGCTAGTGCGGCGGCACTGCAAGGAGTTGGGTGGCGGTGATGTACTGCACTTGGGGTGGATTTGACGGAGGCAACACTTCAAAATGATGAGGGTACGCGGTGGCCAAAAAGAAGAGAGAGAAGAGAGAGAGAGGCAGGGTGGGGCGGCCGTGAGGAGATGGAGCAGAGAAAGATGAGATTAATTAAAGATTTAATACTATTAATGAGGTTTTCTTTATTACTTAATTAATTACTCCTATTTAGAGGAGTTTATGTTTACACTCCTATTTTGAAGATATGACATATGTTTTACTCCTATTTAGGGGGTTTTCTTTTTTTATTATCGGTGAGCACGTACCGAGCTGATACCAAAATTCCCTGAAAAAATCGAGATTACCGAACTGATAAAATACCAAAAAAGAACTGTAGCGTATCAAACCGAATGGTCGATCCGGTATTTGGGATCAGTACAAGGTTACTTCCCATATCGAAAGATCTCAAACCGAACATATATATAAATATATTAGAAAAATAACAATGTTTTTATATTTCTTTGTTAGAAAATAAACTGATTTTGAAAAGTTGGTTCAAGTGTAGATGAATTACAAATATCTTTTATTTATATGATCATTTATTTGAATTTTATTTTCTGTACATTTAGAAAAACAATTAACAAATGTTTGAAATATTATTTTGTTATCATTCATTCTCTTTTGGTTTTGAAATATAAAGTATAAATTAAACTAAGTTTTATAAGTATTTTTGCATTTAATTATTCATTTTTCAATTGTTTATCTTTCTCTATTTGAATGTACTTTCGATTGTTTTTTAAAATAAAAAGTTTTGTACATTCCAAAGTGTGAATTAGGTACGTATCTATATTCATCCCAATATTTATCGAAACCAAAACCGAACCCTCCCGAATCATACTGAATCGATATTTCAGGATCGGGATGGTACGATGTAAAATCTCATACCGAACTGAAATATTTGGCACGTTATGGATACAAACTAAATACTGTATGATACCATACCACGCTCACCCCTAATTTTTATTGCAAACTTTTGATAAAAAAAAAGGCTTATTTTTGTTGCAATAACATACTAGACTCGTACCCGTGCGATGCACGGGCGGAAAAATTAATTTTATTTAGTCATGAAATGAAAAAGAAATGATACAAAAATTAAAAGATAACAAAATACATTTAAAATACCCAATATAAGGTAACGTACATGAACGACCGTAGTCGATATACAGTGTTATAAGTTTTGGAACACTTTTTTATAAACTACATTTGTAGTTATGTTCGTTGACGGAAGGTCTTTATTGAAAATCAAGATCTTTAATCCCCCGCGACTTGTAACACGTGAAATTGCAACATAGAGTTGACCGTGGCTGAATACTGGTTTCTTCAGTAGCAATCCAACATGGGACAAAGATTGGCCTTGACTTTTGTTAATTGTCATAGCATACGAAGTCATGATAGGGAATTGTTTCCTTTGAAATCTAAAAGGAATTCTTGCATCTGACGGTGTGAGAGATAACCGTGGAATAACAACTTCTTGGCCGACATTTTTTCCCGTCATCACCGTGTCCTGAATAAGGTGATTGCCAAGTCGTGTAACTATCAACCTTGTTCCATTGCAAAGACCGGATGATTGATCAATATTTCTCAACAACATAATGGGTGTTCCAACCTTCAACTTCAGTTCATGATTTGGGACACCAGAAGCTCGTATATTGTTCAAGAATTCCGGAGAATGTAAATCTGACAAAAAATCTGCATTTGAATCAGATTTACACACGGTATCAGAGCTAAAGTAGCTTTTCGCTTCTCCAACGTTGTTCAATGATGTCATGTAGTCAATGATTTCATCCACAACGTCTAGAGTTGGTGCAAGAATGGCTCGATTCTGCAAATATGTTGGATCACTTGCAATATTGTGGAAATCTGGATACGTTGAATGAACTATAGTTCCTATAGGATCATCCGTGCTTTCTAACAACATATCGTCAGGGATAATAATCTCACTTGATCCGTCATTCTCATCTCCAGCCGTGCCATCACTAATCTTTGCCATCCACTCCCCAAATTCTGACATGCTCTCGTTATTCTTATCGCAAGACATCTGTTGCAATCGCATGTTTTTTGTCAATCGTAACACCGTACAATCATTCCATAGATATGATGAGTTAATGGCCGCATTGACAATGTCTTGTCTTCTCCCTTTAGGAATAACCGGTAGAATTTGTCGAAAATCTCCACCAAACACAATGGTTTTCCCTCCAAATGGACGATCAGCATTCGATGCATTAACAACAGACATTACATCGCGCAGACTTCTATCTACAGCTTCGAAACAATACTTATGTGTCATTGGTGCCTCTTCCCAAATTATTAGCTTCATTCTAACCAATAAATCAGCCAACGGTGTTCTTTGTTTTATATTGCAGGTGGAATTTTCATGAGGACTGATGGGTATTCCAAAGCGTGAGTGTGCAGTTCTTCCACCGGGTAACAACAATGAAGCGATACCACTTGATGGAACATTTAATACAATATCTCCTTTGGATCGAAGGGCAGCAGACAATGTTTTCCAAACAAATGTCTTTCCAGTTCCACCATATCCATATAAGAAAAAAACTTTCCCCTCGTCCAAGTCAACAGAAGACATTACACTTTCATAAGCTGTACGATGTTTGCTATTCAACAATGTCAAACAATGTTCGTGCTCAGATGCCATTGCCACGCGATCATATTGAAGTTCGTCAAGGATTAGCCGGTTCCGGGTAGTAGTCCCGTTGTCTAATTTGGGGAAAGGCATATCATCGAAGTCTCGCAGACTTTTGCCACGCATTGAAAGCAACATTTGAACTTCAATCAAGGCATAATTCTTGATTTGATCCTCAGTTAAGGTCAAACCTACACATTAAAGAGAAAAGTACATAGAAAAATGGTTTTATGTATAACACATATAAATATAGTTAAATAATATTACCTTGATGACTTAGAAGACAACGTTGGCGATGTAGTATATCCTCGGCCATGAATTCCCAACATTCTTCCCAAACATGTTTTGGTCTAGACATTGATTCGTTTGTGAGGAGTGTCACGAATAAAAACCTCAATTGATTTGCTGAACACCACTGACTTGCTTCTTTGAATCCATCGATGTACTCCCTATCATCATCTAGCAATCCCATAGTATAACATGCATCGCGATAAGTCTTGTGAACAACACCATTGACAGTTTTTAGATCTTCGTATGATGTAGGACCACGGACTATAATCAATAAAATTCTCATGTAATAAGATTCTCCAGAACCTGGAGGAACATAGATAACACGCCCTATAGCAAAACCTTTTAATCGAGGTTCGTACTCTCTCTTACCAGCCTTCCAAACAAACTTTTGAGGAAACTCAGCATAAGTTAAAGTCTTTGCCAAAGGATATTTTTCATTCGCTTTCATCCATGCAAGAAATTTACTTTCACGTATGCTTTCTCGAGTGTAGACATCAATTGCATCATCATCATCTTCAAAAAAAATCCATTGCTCACCTGGTAAGTGAAAGCTTAAGCGTTCAACGCTGGGACATTTATATTGAATCGAGAATCCAAATATTCGCCACGTTGCCTCACACGGAGAAATATATCTGCAATCGTAATACATTTTAATTTCGTTTGGCGTTTCTGCACTTGATGAAGCAGACGTTTCTGTGCTTGCATAAAATCCAGCAGTGACGCGATCATGTCCTTTGTTTATGTACTTGAATAAGTATTTTATAGAACGCGATTGATTGCACCATTCTACATTTAAATGGGCCCCATACTTAAGCAAGACGTTCGTCCATCATTTCTTCTCCTATATTTTGGATATCCATCATCATCAATGATGGTCTCTTCATTGAATAATTTAGGAAAATATTTAGAACACTTTCCTTCTTTCATGCAAGGAGAATTTGGTCCGAGGGTACCACATGGACCATGAATCATAAAATCACGGACTGCATTGAAGTATTTTGGATCACTCCCTTCATCAGGCAACTCCGTAGAAATGATTCCATCAATATCTCTAGGCGTTGGAAATTTATCTGCCTATCCTAAAAACAATAATATGTGCGCATGGGGTAAACCACGTTTCTGGAATTCCACAGTGTAAACAACTGCAACCCAAAAAATAATTTATGAGTATTTTTAATTTTGGAAAGCAGATGGAAATAAAACTGGGGCATTTAATTAAGGCTTGTAATCAACACTTACTTGCTCTAATTTTCCCGAATATTTCATTCTTCTTCAAATCTCGAATCAATCCGTTGAGTTTGATGTTAAATATTCTCGAAGCAATGTCAGGACGATCTTCGGGCTTTAAATTACGACCACACAGAAAGCGATCTATTTCCGGCCATTTTGGATTACACGTGAATGTAAGAAACAGATCTGGATACCCTGTCCACCGGCATATTGCCATGGCATCTTGATAGCTCTGGATCATGTAACGTGCGCCTCCGACAAATGTTGCGGGAACAACAATTCTTTTCCCTTTTGTCATTGTGTCATTGTCACCATTTAGCAAGAAATCTGAGAATCTATTATACATCTCACATCGAAGTTTCTTTTGATGCTTGCTAATATACTTCAATCTTGATGACTCGACCATTGTATATCCATCAACACACAACTCTTGAAATAAACGACGTGAATGTAAAATGGAAGAACTTTCTTCATCCCTTTCATGTAAACGATATGAAAGAAATTCTCGAATGCTCACACTCCTGCGTCCTCCGACATTCAATAAATTATTCTCAACAAAGGGTATATCTTCGCGATAACCATCATCTCCGTATGGAAATAATAAGGGATATTGTAGACTTAAATAAGCCGGATTTAATTCGCTAATCCTTTTCAATGGTCCATGATTTCTTTGAACCAAAATTTCCCTCTCACCCAAAGCTTGATCTAAATCGCCAACCACTAAAGCAGCTACTTCACCAACTGATGGTAAATTGTACAATCTTGGATCAGAAGTCCTCTATCCAATTAGCTTCAAAGTGAGATTCAATTCAAAATCTTGGCTTATTTTTTCTCCAACCATTCGAAATGACTTCACCAAGACATTGTGAGTATCCAACATTTCCCTAATTTTAGCAACAATCTCGATATGTAATGAGTGGACGTTGTCTTCTTTCCTATATATAAATGACATATGTAGATATTAAAATTTAATAATGTACGCATATGCGGGGGTTTCTGAACGATGAAGTGTTATAACTTAATGTCACTATAATGTCAAGTAAGACAATGTAAGTACATACCTCACAGAGTGGATTCTATTGAAATCTTCATTTTGCGTGTCGTAAATGTAGAGTTGAGCAAATTTAGGGACTATCCCATCTCGGGGTACCAAACTGCCAATCTGATGAAAATTTTGTCCTCCAAGCTTAAAAGTTGGTGGACCTCTACCCGGGGTATAATCTCTAATAATCTTGCCACCCAGAGATGTGAAAGAGAACATGCAGTTATAAGAGTGAATATTAGTCTGAAAGTGCTTACTCTCAACATCTGTCCCGATAAGCAAATCCTTTAGAGGCATTGGTGGTTGCTTGACAGGGGCTAGTTTGATCTTTCCTTGTTTGCAACACAACGAATATTTTGGATTCTTCTTGGATGATTGACTAATAAGTCGTTCTTCCAGCCAAAAATAAGCTTTATAGTTTTTACAACTATAAAGGCAATCACCAACGTCCCAATACTCGACGTTGTGTAAAAGGTTCCTCCGGGAAACATTTACTCGATGATTAGGTGTAAAATCCTCTGCATCGATGAAATCCATTTCCAAATCTCTAACAACATCTGCATCTGCATCGAGATGATCTTCTGTACGAATATTAGCATCTACACCCCAAGTTTGGGTGATAAATATGTCGGTGAGTGGATCAAGATTCATAGAGGAATTATTGTCTTTGTTCACTGTTTGTTGTTTAAATAATAATGGGTAAAAAATTCATTGAGTAAATTACATATAGAAGAATAAATGAAAAAATATATATACGATGGTGAGATTTAATAATAAACTTGAAACACACCTTCTCCATCAAGATTTTTTCTTTTCGTACCAACGTTGTCCTGTGTAACACAACTCTTCAGTAGAGATGTGTCTCGGATTGTTGAATTTAGCGATGAAGAATTGGCATGAGTTAATGGAGTCGAGGGTAAACGATCAAATGGCGTTGTGACAATAACTACGAAATTCAATACTTATAATAATGAATGAAATACAAACCAAGAATTTCAATACATATGTGTGTGTGTGTGTGTGTGTCTATATATACACACACACATGTGTGTGTGTGTGTGTTTGTATATATACTGTTATTAATTGAATGGACATACCATTTGTTATGTTTGACAATGGAGAAGCAGTACACGTAACAGGACTTGATGAATTTTGTAGTGGTTCACATTGCAAGACAGACTTTCTCCTCAAGTTTACTCCACCAATATATATATATATATATATATATATATATATATATATATATATATATATATATATATATATATATATATATATATATATATATATATATATATATATATATATATATATATATATAGAGAGAGAGAGAGAGAGAGAGAGAGAGAGAGAGAGTATGAATTCAATAAATACCAATTATCGCAGAACACCTTAATTTAAATTTATAACTATACTTTTTAAATTTTTTAAGTATTCAACAGGTACTATTTAATATCATTATGTTTTAGTGTTAAATTTTTTCCAATTCCTAATTTAATGCAGACAATATATTAAATAATATGTTTTAGTGTCAAATGCAAATTCAATTAAAATTTTATTTCTATTATATTAAATGTTTTCAAAATCTGTTTTTTGTTAAACGCATAGTATGAATAAAATCTAATTTTTATAATTTAAAAATAGAAATAAACTTTTAAAGATGCAATACCCCATAATTAAAGATGCAGCCACCTGAAGATATTGATTTGTATTTATTGCTATGTTTCCCACGCTTTCTTTGGTATTAGTAGCCTATTAAATGGTAGGCTCCCCAATTACATTTTCAGCAGCCGTTTGAGATTTGTGCATGCATTAAATGCTTTGTTCCCCATGCCTATTCCAAACCTTATTAAAAGAATACGGAGTATTAAATGGTAGGTTACAAATTGTCTAATCCAGTTGCCATTTGAGATCCGTGCATTTATTAAATGCTTTGTTCCCCATGCCCATTCCCAAAAAGCATAAATGAGTACTCCCCCCGTCTTTAAATAGATTACAATTTTTTTCATAGTCTCGATAACTTTTGCATATTAACGCGATTTCATTATAGATTTGAAAAAATAAAATATTCTTTCACTTATTGCTTTGTAGAACTTTTGACGAAGTTTTTTTAATATGTAATTTTTATATTACATTTATATATACTCATTTGTAAATATAATGATTTAAAAAAGCAGAAATTTTTACTCCGCAACCCGCATTTTGTAATCAAATTGGGGACGGAGGGAGTAATATTTTTTTGGCTACGACTGTTGTGAAATCCAGCAGCCATTTGAAATCCTTGATTTATTAAATGCTTTATTTCTCATGGATGATTTTTAATAGAGTAGGATTAGGGGGAAACCAATAACCGTACATACACTTAGGTGTTGAAGATATTGTATATATTTATTGGCAATCTAAAAAGCAAGTGTATTAAATGCAAAGATATTGTCCAACCAATTGATTGTCAGTCCAAGAGATTTTAAAATCTTATTTTAATATTTTTATACAAACAACCCAAATTATTAATTTTATCTCTACTAATATGATCAATTTATTATAATTAAATAAGCTGTTTTTAAAATAGTTTTCTATATAAAAACATGTTTTGGAGGTATTAATATGATTATTTAATGTATGGTGGAGGTAGGCCATGAAATTAAGACTAATGACAGAATAAATCAAACTGTTAAAGTTGAGATTATTTTTGGTGTCATTGATATTTTAAGCGATTATTCTCACTCCGATATTTTAAGAGATTATTTTTGGACATTGTTTTAGATAATCAAACTGTTAAAGCTGTTTTAAATACTCAAATTTTAGCCCGAATTTTTAAAATTAGATCTTAAAAGATTACAAATCATTTTATATAGAAAGGATTAGAATTTTTAGATGGCCAAATATTCATTCAGTAAATGGGTTGTAGATCTTAGTTAATTGAAAAACGTGTCATAATGATTTAACTTATTGAATTTCACAAAGCCCAAAGCTAAACTATAGAAAGTTTTTAGTTATTTTCCACTTAAGTTATTATCAACTCCATAAGTGTCTAACTTTTTGTCCATAATTTTTCACCCTAAAATAAGTTTACGTTATTTGCACGGAAGTATGAAGAATTTTAAGAAGCCTAAATAGGCATTCTTATTCAAAACACAACAAATATATTAATATCCGACTGAAGCACATATAAGAAAATTTCCAGATGAACATCTGGAAATGCCCCATTATAACAAAAATATAAAAAAAAACATAAGATAATATCGAGATTAAAATCTGGATTTGCCACAAATACTTGAGAAATTGTCTAAACCACATAGGATAACTGGACAAAGTCCAGGAATGTGCAAAAAAGACAAAAAAACTAAATAATGTCCTTCCTAATGGGTTTGAATCAGTACAACTTTCCAATCCTTCATTCTTCCAAATGCTCCCTTTTCACCTTCTTCTTGCAAGATGTAGTTGATAGCTCGTCAAGAAGTTGTCTCTTAACCGGATCATTACCATCAATAGCATCCATCTTCTTCCGTGAAGTCGTCTCGCCTTGGCTAGAACTTGGGTTGTTTGATCCAATCTACATAGGAAAATAAAATGTTAGTATGACATTATAGGTTTTTTGAGCTAAGTAATTATGAATCTTAAAGTGTTTAACAAAGGTAAAATTTTGATACCACTGTTTGAACTTTTTGACTAAGATCTTCAAGAGAATTCCACAAATCAACATCTTCCTTTGAGTCATCATCAACAATGTCCAAAACATGTTCATACTTCTTGAGAATTCTTGGATCCGAAACGAAAGACCGCACACCAAAAGACCTAGGACCGTTCCAATGAGGACTACCACCCTCGGACTTGACAACAACATTAAACAAACTTTTTCTCCCAATTAAATGGTTCAGCTCTTCCGGGAACAAATTTGGGTCCATCTTTCTCTGAATTCATTAGACACAAAGTTATTTGCCACAAAATGTACTTTTTCCTCTAAATTTTAAAAAACATTAACAATGAAAATTTATCATCTCCCTAAGAAGAAGAAGGGCACTCCCACCCAAAATGTCTTTGCACTCTCTGTCCCAAAGCGTAAAGGAAGCATGACCGGTGATGTCAAAAACGTGGACACTAACTTTAAACCTATCCAATAAAACATGGAAATATTACATTCCCATCGCATTTTATTATCATAGAATCATGTCACGAAGTTGTAGAATTAGTAAGTACGGAGTACAACTTACTTGTAAACCCCATGTGGCATCCTAAGATCACATCCCGAACATGTAAAATGGGAACCATCGGGTATAACCTTCTTGTTGCATTCGGTGCACCCCAAGTAACACCAATCAGGTGTATTTTCAAGATATGAAATCTCACCGAGAATCCAATATGTCCCGGGCTGTTTATTTAAAGTTTATATTTTGATAATCATACATGTAAGATAGTACAGTGCTTAATATAAATAATTTAATTTATAAAATCTAACCTTTGTTGTATCAATAAGAGTCTTCAAAGGGGTGATTTTTAGGCGCTCATTCACTTCTTCATTTCCACAATCCATTATCAAAGTATTCAGGCTACTCCCATCATCAACTTGTAGAGGTAGGCTACAAAAAAATTGTCTTTAATTTGAATTTTAAAATACAAAGAGAAGTCATAAATACTATAGAGGGCAGTTTCGTATGGTACCTAGCTCGGAATTGATTAACTTCATCAGAGTTACCATCAAAAATCATCTTCGTGACATGAAAAGAAGTTGAAACAGTTACCGAGCCTGTCAAACAATTTAAATTAGTCCGAAATATATTACTAAACATCATTTGAAATGAAACTGATATTGATGAATATTGATGATAAGATTAATTACCCTGGTATCGCCTAGGCTTACAGAAACTAAGAAGTAAGATAAAAGGTCCCGGAACACCTTGCGTCAGACAATTCAAGAATTTCTCCACATACTCGCCCCATAATGTGCAAGCCAAACGATTGCCTCTGCATTTATTTGTTTACTCAATATTTTGTTAAGAAATTGCTCTTATGTATTATTTAAAAATATGTGCTCATACTCATGATCTTCAAGTGTTATTTCCATTAGCTTCTCTTCACCACCTCGTTTAAAGTGTGTTTGAACTTTTCATCGCCCAACAATGTTTCCTATGACATCTGCACAGTCCGAAAAATTAATTCTTCCGTTTTAATTGTCTGCAAATTTGCTTAAAGAAATATCTTCAAAATAATGTTTTGAATGCATTTTTGAAATGCACAAATGTTTATTTTGATTTGCGCGTGCGATTTTCTTATATATTTTTATTTGAATGTAAAAATTTCAAAATAAATATTATTCAAAATTTTATTATGAATGAAAACCGATATTGCGAAAAGTGGATGTAAAAACATTCAATGCAAAATGTGCGGATGCAAATTAATTAGTTTTGTATACCGATGAGAAGTTGGTCATTCAAACAGGGTTGAGATTGAAGGTCCGAAAATGATTTCAAATCGAACTTGAAATTGGGAAAATCTTTTTCACTTAGAGTCTTGACTTCTGTTTTTGGATAAAAAACCAACAAATATTTATGCGAAGTTGTTTTGCATGTTTGGTAATTATCATTAACAAAAACATTTCGGATTCCAAAGACGCCATCTTCAATAATTTGGCTTTCAAAACGCCTCTTTTCGGAACTCTTAAGTTGAGCATGAATCCTTGTCCCCTGCATAAAAAAAGAAAATATTTAGAAAATAAGTTTAAAAGAGCAAAAATATTGTGTAAGAAAGTATACTAAGAAATTACTCGTTCGTCGTGGAAGATGACTTCCATGGAATCTCCGCCCTTAGACCATGCCGGAACATGGTAAACTCGGATTGCTCACAACTTAAGTATCCAACCCGTTTTTTTGTTATCAATGCGGTCAAGCATGTGCCACATTTCGTTTAAAGGCTTTTTGGACATAATGGTATTCTTGTTGGTAAGGAAGTTTTGTGGGTGATGGAGAATTTGGCCCTTAAACTTCCCTTAAATAATGTTCTTGGATAAGTGGAGGATCTCTTGCATTTAATGCCCATGTACCATAAGATTTTTTCAAATCCAAAGCATTAAATGACCATTAAGTAATTGGGCTCTTAAAAAGTGCTTTTCAGCACTGTAAATTTGTGCTCACACTCCCCAATTGTTTATTTTCATGATTACCTAAGCCACCCTATTGAAAAAAAGCTGCCCTATATTAAATCCGAACACAGGCCTGGCGCACTACACGCTGTCCAAAATCAGAATACAGGCCCACTACACATCTCAGCCCAATTTACCCAAACCCGGCCCAATATTTTTAGGCGGGAACACTGTTCATTTTGGCCTCCTACCATTGTATATATAGAGATTAGTCTTATTTTTATTTGTACTCAATTAAGATGTTTTTCATTCATAGTATTTTCACTAATTTGTTTTTCAATTATAAAAAAATAAAAGACATCAATTTTTATCGCGAGTATACCCGACCCGATACGAAGACCCAATGGGCAATGAGTCCAAATCTAGGATTAAACTTCAAGACCCATTGGCTAAACGGGTACGATTCAAGATCAATTTTTTATAAAATAGTAAGGATAAAGAAGACTATGGACCAGCCTGAACCCGACACATTGACAGGCCTACTCCAAGCCAGCTCTTAAGGATGGAGGCAAAAGCAGCAACATGAATCACTTAGAGCAAGTTAACATCGTCTTCTAAGAAGTTAGAGTAGTAAAAGAGGAGTTTAAGGTCCTGACCGTACGTATTAGAGTCTATCCCACATCAAAAATTGAAGAGAAAAATAATTGTGTTGGGAAAAATTATAGATTTTGATGATGATGTATGTAGATTGTAATAGGGACTTTAGGTCATCCCCAATATTCAATGAAATATTTCTTTTTAGAAATATTGTTAAAACCGAGTTTTTGAGATTTCCAATAAAACTTGTGATATTTCACTCTGTGGTTTGATGTAAATCTTTGAAGACTTAATCAAATTCATTGATATGGAAATTGGAACTCTTGATCGGAAATGTCAGAGACAAGTAAGGAATTTTCAAAGCAGTTGGTTACTTTGAAGATTCTCTAATCCGGAATACTCCATGATAACCGGATCTCTCGCTACAACCCGCTGAAGGCTAAGTCATCTGGATCGGAAGACTAGCACGGATCTCTTTCTCACTTGGAAGTCTAAGAATGACTTATTCTGAATTGTCAGCAAAGAACCGGATGTCTCAAGAAAGACCGGAACTCTCAGAACCAGACTAGTGAGAAAAGACTTAGAAAATTATCTAAGTCCTGAATGAAGAAATTCTACCCGTTGGTAAGGAAAAATCAATTTCTTGATTTTCAACAGCTAGATTGGGGATATTTGAGCTAATTCAAGAACAAATGACTTGAAGACAAAGTCTGGACTTCTCAAATTGAAGAGCTCGCTCAGAATTCCTAAAAGAGCACAAGAAGACAAAATGAGTACTCCACTCAATAAAGAGCTATAGTCCAGAATTCTTGAACCACTAAAAGACAGATTCTGTGAAAAAGGAATCCTTTCTAAAACAATTGGGTATGTCCAAACACTCATTCCAATGAAGAATCCTCAATCTCACTCTTCGTTCAAAATTGAAGCCAGCAAATGAAACAAATAGTCTATTCCCTTCAACGGATAGATTATTCATCCAGCTATATATATCTTCCATGGAAGACTGGAGAAGAAAAATATATACGAAGAACATAACTGAGAAAACTACTACAATCAAAGCTATCTCATTCACAGTTAGCCAAAAAGCTTGATAAAGAGAGATCTTTAAAACTCCTTATCCAGAAGCAAACTTCTCCTCCTTCCAAAGAGCTATAATGTAAACACTTGAAGGTTTCCTTGCCTCAAGTACCACACCACGTTGAAGGATACAACTTTTAATCAAACTTCTTGATTAAAACGGGGTATATCAACTTTTCTACAAGTTGATCTTGCAAGTCCTATTGTTCGGATCTTGCAGTTGTTGAAGAAGCGTGACCTTCGAAGGAACAACAAAGCCAGCACGTGTGCAGTAGCAACATTGGCCTTGCGAAGATATACCGTGTAGAAATTCACACAAGTGTAATTGTTGGTTCATTATTCAACAACCAACTACATAGTGGATTTTGAGGACGTAGAAGGATTACCCCACCTTCGAACCTCGTTAAAGTTTGCGTGTCTCTCTCTTTTATCTTTATTCTTACTTGCATTTATATTAACTGAGAAAACTAACCCATCCATATTGATTACTTCTCACTCTACCCACCAACTTCCGCACATAATCTAAAGTTCACAAGAACTCTAGATTAATGTGGTATATAAGCTCTTGAATTGAACCAAGTAATTGATTGGATTCATACTTTTAATGTGGTTCAACTCATGTGTCCTATTGCTTGATCTAATGATCTCTTTCCACATCCTAAATTTTATCATGGTAACAAAGCCAGTTTTAGCCCTCATCATTTGTCAAGGTATCCGTCTAGACGTTCATTTCCAGCGCCCCTAGTCTTTAGCCCAGTTCTCTATGTGAAATGCATATCCAACGGTTGTGGCCCAATCATCTCGATTGCTCGTATCGAAGTCCCTCGATATATAAGCTCTTGAGTTGAACTAAGTAATCGATTGGATTCAATATCGCTCAGTCCAATGATCACTATCTTCATCCTAAACTTTATCAAATCACAATTAAAATTATAAGTGGTAAGTGATATCTAGCAACAAATACCTACTACCTAAAGTTCATTGCAGCTAGAGTGGGTTTAGGAAAAGGGATACTAATTCCAAACTATTCATGCTTGGATTAAAAAGAGAAGACTGAAGAACCATATTAGCTCCATCAAAAAGTCTAAAGGACAAGTTATGGAAATAAAAATTGATATTGCTCAAGTTATGGTGGATTATTTTTAGGGGATAATGGGTGAAACAGAGTGGACAGAAGATATCCAGAGTGCTATTATTGATGAAGGTGAGGTGCTTTCTGTGGAACAAAAACTTCGACTTATTATTCCTATTACTGAAGAAGAAGTTAAGAAATGTATGTTTCGCATCCCAAATTGCAAGAGCTTGAGACGAGATGGTTATAATAGTGGCTATTTCAAAAACCAATGGAGTCTGGTAGGAGAGGTTGTATCTAAAGCTGTCCTAGAGTTTTTTCGAGATGGGGCTACTCTTCAACAGATTAACCATACCATTATTAGCCTCATCCCTAAGGTGGATTGTCTAGAAAATTGTAGTGATTTCAGACCTATAGCAAGCTGCAATGTGATTTATAAGGTAAAATCAAAAATTATTTGTAGCAGGATAAAGGTGGTTCTTCCCCAAATTATCAATTCCAATCAAGATGCCCTCATTGAAGGTAGGGAACTGGTGCACAATGTCCTCCTATGTCAGGAATTGGCGAGAGGATATAATAGGAAGGGTATCAGTCCAAGATGTTTGATGAAACTTGATTTAAGAAAAGCTTATGCAGTTGGAAAGGCTTATTTTAGATTATGGAGGCATTGAAGTTCCCAAAGAAATTCATCACCTGGATTCATTTTTGTGTTACAAGTGTTGCCTACTCAGTACAACTTGATGGTGAGGTATTTGGTTTCTTCAAGGGAGGGAGAGAAATTAGACTAGGGGATCCAATGTCCCCCCTGTTATTCACTCTTATAATGGAATATCTCATAAGGACTTTTAGCTTTTACTCAAAAAATAATTGCTTCAGGTATCATCCAAGATGCAAGGCCCTTAAACTTATCAACATAGTGTTTGCTGATGACTTGATAGTGGCCTGCAAAGCCGATCTTCAGCCTGTTGAGTGCATTATTCTAGTCTTGATCATTTCAAGAATACAACTGGGCTACATCTAAACTACCACAAGTCTCAAGTGTTTGTAGGTGGTGTAACTGAGGATTGTTATAACACCATACCGGAGAGAACCAATATGACTATTAGTCCATTAGGCAGGAGGTTTGTGAGGTTACCTCTTGATCAGCATCATCCTTGGCCATTAAGCAGAGAGTGTCATCTTCTGACATAGTCCACCTATCCTCACGGTTGGACTTCTCAACTTTGCGCTCCATGCAGACGAGGGCTTCTTCATCCGAGCTTGAGCTGGATGACTCGTCACTTTCAACAGCAACCATTGCTTTCTTTTTCTTCTCGATCCTTTCTCTTTCTCCGTACTTCTCCACCTTTGGGTACGGGCATGCTGACTTCCAGTGGCCAGGCTTCCTGCAGTTATAATATAAATAAGATTCAGGAGGGGAGTCACTTACCTGTGTCTTTCCCTTGGATGGCCTTCTGATTGAATCAGCCTTCTTGAAGAACTTCTTGAACTTCCGGAATTGTTTGACCATCATGGCAAATTCCTCTTCGTAGTTCTCCATTTTTGAGCTTGTCGGCTGGCTGGGGGAAGGTGTGTCACTGTTTCTTGTGCATATCCCTTCACTTGATGGAATTCTTGAGGTTGTCATCAATGCCGTGGGGAAGGGAGTGACTTGTTCTTCCTTCTTCTTTTTCAGCTCGTGCTCATAGGTTTTGAGTTCATCAAGGAGACCTTGAACAGTGTAGTTTTCCAGGTTTCTTCCTTCTTCCATGGCTGTGGCTTTGGTGTACCACTCAATTGGGAGTGATCTCAGCAACCTTACATTCTTTTCTTTGGGAGAAAGAATGTGGTTAAGTGAGGCAAGATCATTCAATATTTTGTGGAATCTTTCATCCAACATGTCAAATGATTCTCCGGGAAGCATTTTGAAGCTTTTGAACTTCTCAAGCAGGACTTCTATCTTCTGCTTTCTTAGGTCCTCTGATCCCTCACATAGCTTCCCAAGACCTTGCCAAATCTCCATGGCAGTCTTGAGATGCTTAATCTTGGAGAAGGTGATGGGATCAAGTGTTTTGAAGATGGTTGCTTTGGCGACGTTGTCCAGATTGTGCTTTTTGCAATCTCTATCATCCCATTTTTCTTTGGGTTTTGGAATGTACTGGACTACATCTGGAGCAGCTGGATTCCTCTCAGGGTTCTCCATTTGGATTTTCAAGGGTCCATCCTCAAGCACCATCCACATGCAATCATGTAGAGCGTAGAGATGTGCTTCCATCATGATCTTCCAATCATCATAACCTAGAAGAGAAAACTTGGGCAAACCGTGATCCATATTGTTCACCATTATGATCGCTTCTCGTTAATCTAAAAGTAGATAGTGAGAAACCTGCTTTGATACCAATTGGTGGTCCCGAAGTGGTGAGTTACAAAGTCTAGAGGGGGGGTGAATAGACTTTGTTACAAATTTACAAACTTTTTCGTTTCTTTTAAAAACGCGAAAATAGGTGTTAATCTAGAGTTCTTGTGAACTTTAGATT